GAGTATACTTATGATTAAAAGGGTTTGAAAGGAAAAGGTTTGTTAGTTGTTTTTTGTGATCGCTGGCGACCGTCCTTCGCGATGTTGCAACGATTGAGAAGTGTGTTTTGTTTCGAAAGACAGCTGTCATCTCGGACGTCTCCATAACAGGACATATATATCCTAGGCTATTTTGCATCTCACTGAACTTTGTATTCAGTAATATGGTTTATACTGTTGATAATACAGATAACACAGGTCAATCAAGGGCCCAACGGATAAACAAGACCTTATAAGAGGCTCGGCGTCTTTTGTTATTATGCAATCATTCGGCAAAACAGCACCGTCAGCTATGCCCCCGGCCCGGGGGTTGAGTTTGATGTAAGTTCGCATTGGTCTGAGGGATTTTTTCCAGGTACCTCGGTATTCCCCTCTCAGCTGAAAAAGCAACATTTCCAAATTCCAGTTCGTCCTGGGTAGAAGATCGGCACGAGAAACAGTTAAAGCTGGTGTGACTTTCTCCTCTCTAAATACTGAAATTTGTCATTTTATTTATTGACTGAAAAAGAATTGAAGATCTCCCTTCCACGTCGAAACTGATAAATTTGCTCTGAAACCAAAAGGGTAATGGTATGCAATGCTGACAAAGGTAACTGAAAATATACGTGTATGATGCGTTTTACACAATTAATTCACATTGCAATCATTACTGCAAAAACACCCTTTCCGATATAAAATTCCCATATTGTACCTGAAGAAGGCTCGTTTGGCCTTTCTTTAAAAAAATAATATCTATTACTAAAAACTGGATCATTGGATAATGCAATTCGAGAGCTTTCGTTGGCTTAGCCATCGTGGGTTATGAGCCATTATACATATACCATGCTCCACAAATATGGTAAGCAAACAAGTGATTTTTTTGGCGTTTTTATTTTTATTTAAAGCGGGGTTCTACATGAAGACCGTATTTTGGCTGGGTATCATGGTTTTAATGCAAATATCTCGTTCACGTTTCAAGCAGTCAAGAATCTCTCTGCTTATCCCACATATCTATGTTTTGGGCTGTTTTGTAAATTTTTTGGTGATTTTTAGCTATATTTGGAGATAAATAGTTTTTCTCAAAGGATTAGTAAAATTTATGGAAATAGGATATTTTGAAGATTTGGTGTTGTTTTAAAATTAGAATTTGAAGTTAAAAATTGGTAGACGCACACCTCGTTTTGGCGCTAAGCTTATTTTCGTCTTATAATGCCATGAAATTGCTGTTTTCATTTCTAATCTTGACAGACGGGTTAAACTTGTGATTTTCTTCACAACCATTAGCTTGACAGTAGCTACAGCTTGAATGACCTTAAAATCTCTTTCTCAAGGCGGGGTCTACATGAAGGCCGTATTTTGGCTGGGTATTATGATTTTAATGCAAATATCTCGTTCACGTTTCAAGTAGTCAAGAATGTCTCTGCTCATCCCACATATCTATGTTTTGGGCTGTTTTATAAATTTTTTGGTGATTTTTAGGTATATTTGGAGATAAATAGTTTTTCTGAAAGGATTAGTAAAATTTCAAGAAATAGGAAATTTTGAAGATTTAGTGTTGCTTTAAAATTAAAATTTGAAGTTAAAAATTGGTAGACGTACACCAAACAGTTGTCCGCCAACCTGGGGTGCCGTTTCGGGGGGGTTCAACTGTCTGGTGGTGTTCCA